GATTTTTCAAGATTTTATTTATTTTCTAACTAAAAAAATAATAATGACTGCCAGGCAAGTTGAAATAAGTTTCACAACTCTTGGTTAGAAGTTAATTTGTTTTAATATATTATTTGCTTTAATTTTTGTTTTTGTATTTTCTTTTCATTCATTAAGTATTTTAAGAAACCCCAGAGGAAATAGGAACAAATTACATGATGTTTTTCCACTTAAAGGAACTTTAAAGGAAAACCCTTTAAATTAATTCATTTCCACATACACTTTAATAATACATTGCTTGCAGGACCTTTTTTTTTTTTTTTTTTTTTAAAAGACTTGACCAAGAGAGGTGCATGTATCTTGAAATAATTTTTTTTTTAAATATATTTTTTAAGTGCATTTTGTTTTTAAGATCACATAAATTAGATGTTAATCAGTGTGACCTCCACTATTTACCCAACTGTCCTGGAAGAAGCCAGAACAGAGCTGCTTGAAAGAAAAGCAACAACTCATATACTGCACATATAAGCTGTTGAACTGCATTATTAAAACTCAGTCTTCCCTTTTTAATAGAGTAAAACAACCTGAATAAATATTCTTACACACACATTAAAATTAAAATTGCATGTAATTCTTCTCCTTCACTGACAAATCTAGAGACTAAAGTCAGTTCTCAGTGTGTGTGTGTGTGTGCGTGTATGTGTGCGTGTGTGTGTGCGTGTATGTGTGTGTGCGTGTATGTGTGTGCGTGTGTGTGTGTGCGTGTATGTATGTGCGTGTGTGTATGTGCGTGTATGTATGTGCGTGTGTGTGTGCGTGTATGTGTGTGTGTGTGCGTGTATGTATGTGCGTGTGTGTATGTGCATGCACTAGAGGCTTCAAGTTTTCACATCACACTTGTGTAAGTTGCACATTATCAGATCATCAGTCAATCCTGCTTATACGTACACATGTTCACCTCTGGATTGAAAGGAACATCTCTCCATCATCAGATAAATGTGAAACCAGACTTTGGACATACCGGTCCAGGCATGTGCCATTGGTTTACGCTGAGCCTGCGTTCCCATGCTATGGTTCTAGCCAAAGAGCTGTAAAAGCCTATTGTCCTCACATGACTGGGATCATTAGAGAGCACTCTTCCTCATCTAACCTCTCCCTGACTCTTATTGTCTCTCTCTTGTCACCAGCTTTACTGTGTTTGACTGTCTCTCAACATGTTGTCCTCTGCTCTCTGTCTGTGTTTCGGATTAAGGACTGTCTGGTTGGAAGATGTGTTATTTAAACGGAACTGTGTGTGTGCCCATGTGTTTGTATGTGTGTGTGTGTGTGTGTGTGTGTTTTTAACTTTATGACGTGCGTTTGTACAAGTCTATACAAGTGTTTGTCAAGTGTTGTATGCATGTGTGAGGGGTAGTATCTGTATGCAAACAAATGTGAGGGAAAAGAAAGACAGTTTATGGACACGTATGTAAATGTGAGAGATGCAGTGGGTGCGTGCATGTCTGTGTGTGTGTGTGTGTGTGTGTGTGTGTGTGTGAGGATGCATTAAAATGAAAGACAACAGCAGCACAAAACACACAAGCTGAGACAGTGACACAATATTTTCACTGACAGGCAAAGATGGGGACGATTGCCCATCATAAATCAACTATTCTAACTATGTCACTGTGAATACGCATCAAAGCACAATGACCGGAAGGTGACACAACGGACACGACAGTGTCATGAAATTTCTTTTCACATTTCCTGGACGGTAACCGTGGGGCACAAGCGGGAAGTGCCCCTCGAACAAGAGTCTCCTCTGAGTGAGGAGAAAGGGGAACATTGTAGGCCAGGGACCCAAAGGTCATCATGGCTGTTAGGCTCACGCTCTGCCTGGACTCCTGCTGACTCACTGCTGGTCCAGCCATGAACTAACGTATGCATGTCTTGGGCCACCATTAGTCAAACATTAATCACAGCGCCCATTGAGGTGATGAACATGAGGAGAGTCTCTGTTCTTCTCTCTCTCTCTCATTCTCTCACACACACACACACACACACACACATACACTCTGGGGCCCAAATGTGGATTTCTCTATCCCAGTGTGACTTGATGTGATTGCATTTCCTCTCCCTGCTGTGTGTCCCCGCTCCCTGCTTATCTCCGGTGTCTGTTAGATGGCAGAGACTTGTTGGATTCCTGCCTCAGGGGTCTCCCACTGAGATCCTGACTGGCTAATCCACTCAGCTGATACCAAAAACTGTGCCAGAGGGCAACTCTTCTTCTATGGAAAATAAAGTTGCTTTTCTTCTTCTTCTTCTTCTTCTTCTGTAGAATTTCATCTTAAGCTTCACTAAATGCTCATTGTTGACTGGCTGACACATTATCTGGTCTGTGTCATTTTTCTGAGATGAAGGTGGTTTCACATGTTTTCATATCACTCCTCGACAAGACGGCATCTGTTTTCATGCGTCTTGATCAACCAATCAGTTGGCTAGAAGCATTAACGACTTATTTACTGGTTTTCTGTTGAAAAATCTTGGTTTAAAACATTGAAGCTTTTTCCGGTCATAAGTTTAATACAGGAGACAGCACCTACATTTGGATCACTGCTGAGGGAAAAACTTTAAAACAAATCTTACCTCATTTGGGGGAAACTGATTGTTGTATTTTTGCTATAATTTGTGGCTTTTTTTTTGTGGTTGTACTTTTGCATTTAAGTTAACAGCTTATTCATACATGCATTCACTTAGTGATAAATATTTCTGTCTTTATTTGACTTATACTGCCCGATCCTTTTCTTTGACTTTTGGACAGAGTGGCATTGTTGTCTATCTCATTTACCTTTTATCTCTGTCAGAGCTTTTGACAATGTGAGGTTTTCTGCATTTTAAAGAAAATGTGCCTTTTCACCTGAATTACCTAGAAGTTTCCCCAACATATTTCATTCTCCAGTCCGCATTTTTCACAGCAGTAAAAGAACAGGTGTAAATAATAAAATAAAAAATGGCTGAATTCCATTTAGCTGCTTCGGTTTCAGGTCCTGGTATTGTGCATATTGGCTCACTGTCATTTTTTACCAGGAAACTTGAATAGAACTGAGCCTGTTAATGTTATTAGTAAGAATTATTCTTGATCTAACTTTGTGCTTCTTTGTTTGGATGATCTATGTGTATAAATGGAACTGTTGTAATTCTTGTTTACATATTTGATGACGGTCCTTTAGACTGAAAGCACAGGCTGAATAAATATGAAATAAATCATCAGTAAGTGGGTGTTTAGACTCAACCTTAGTCAGTGTCTATTTAACAATAGTGACTGGTATTTTGACAACAATAGGACTGCAAACCAAACAACAATGTCACATCCTGGTTTGTGCAAAGAAAGAGTAACCAGTTCTCTAGAATAAACCACAGGGTCACATTTGAAGTGAAATGTTTCAGTAAAGGAGGTTAACGTTCTCTAAAGCCAATTTCCATTTTGAAGACATATTTTTTTCTTCATTTTTTCTCTTTGATTAGATGAATGTAAGTTCATTTTTAAAAAAAAACATATACTGACTTATAAGTTAGCCACCCTACCACCAGGCTGAACAGAGCCCTGTTTCCATGGTAACAGCCAGTGACACCTGCTGACCAGTGGCACAAGTGACAAAAAAAGGAGAAGGTTGTGTGAGTAATGAGAAGGGTAAGACTTTTTAGAGACTGTCCTGAGTCTGACTGACCAGTCAGCAGAAGCAAATAACACAAGGTCTGCACAGCGCTGAGATTTTCTGCTCGTGTAAGTTTTCTTTTTTTTGTTGTAATGTTACACTCGACTGGATTTTCCTTATCAACTGTCAAATTCTTCCAGAGGAAAAACCTTTTCTCCTGGACTGAAGGGAGCTGAGCAGCTTGATGCTGTTCCTCGGTCAGCCATGTTTTTTTAGTTTAAAAAAAAACAAAAAAAAAACATGAATTAATTTATCCAGAATTCATGGTAAATTATTCGTACAAAAGTCACAGATACAACTTAAAGGTAAATGCTAAAAAGCAGCACAAGCAGACAATCATCATTACGTTACAATGCAGTAGGCCTACACATGCATCTAAAGGTTTGCTGACAGTAGCTAATGTTAGCCACCACAAAGCTACTGGTCATACCAGACCAAGTGAGGCTGTAGCAGCAAAACACCTGAGTGTACTGACCTGAGCGGGAATGCGTTTTGTTGGTATGTATATATGTATATATATATATATATATATATATATGTATTCCTCTTCCATTTGTAACGGTGTGTTATTTAATCTTTTAAAAGTTTCATAGTCTCACTTTAACATTTGCAAATGACCCTCTGGCTAACCAAATCCCATGTATACTTTGGTAAATTTTAAAACGTGGGGCAGAGGTTGATCATTTTGATCATTTGTTTAAAAAAAAAGAAAAAGAAACTATAATTCTATGTTCAGTTATCTGAGGGGAAAAGTGATATCCACTGTCAACAGTCTTTAAATTTCAAAACCAATTACAGAACATGGGGAGACCTTGAACTAAGAATTATAGAATATAATATATATAATACCAAATATGAAAACACATAACAACTTAAAGTTAAAACTGAGAAAAAAAACATCACAAATGAGGGAGGAGGTTCTCTCTATGTGAAAAAAGGTTCTGTGTCACACTCCTCACTGACAAAGAGATAAAATAGAGAAAAAGACGCTCGAGGATTTGGCAACCTTTCCTGTAACACTGTGACTCAACGGCCTCCTATGGTGAAAAATTGTAAAGCAGGGACCTGAGGCACGGAAAGAAACAGAGACAGAGTGATTCAGTGAAAGTGAATGGTTCTGACTCTCCTACCCATCACTGAAGGGGGAGAGGTTGAAAAAAAAGAAAAGGACCAGGGAAAGGACGGAAAAAGGGGGAAATGACTGGCGATAGTGTGGGAAGAAAAAGATAGAGAGAGAGAGACAGAGAGAGAGAGAGGGAGGAGGGGCTTAAAAAGTATGAACTTGTGTATGATTTAGCTGCAGGAAGCATTAAGAAGGGAGAAGACTGCACACAGGACGTGGTATACTCACTCTTCTTGGGCTTTACTCAGGACGAGTTGCCTTATGGCTTCTCACAGGCAGACTTTTTCCACTGGCTCACACTTTTTCTAGTGCGCTCCTTCACTACTGAGACTTGTCTTGTTAACAAGAAAAAAAAAAGAAATCCGGAGCATTCAGCTTGAACCCCGTGCTGTTTTTTTTTTTTTTTCTGTGCGTAATTTCTGTCCAGGATCGAAAAGAAGGGCGACATCACAACAACACGAGGACGAGGAATCAAGACAGAAATCAAACGAACTGGGGGAAAATGAAAGCCGTCTTGGATTTCTGCTTGATTTTCCTCACGCTGCATACTCCCGGCGTGCTGTCCTTGTCCACACGTAAGTTACACACAGATGTCCATCGATGCTCAAAGTCATGGTCTTACTGGGGAAGGGTTTTTTTTAGTTTGGGTAGGCAGTTTTTTTTTTGTCCACTGAGATCAGCTTAATGCATGTGTCACCCAGAGATCTTAGTGTAAACAACGCTGTGTGACACTGTCCTGCTCGGGTGAGCATTATTTCAAAGATAAAATGGGTGCAAAAATGGGTTTCAACAACAGTGCAACCCATTTTTGAAGGTTTTTACTCAATGCAAACATTATAGAAAAACCACAAACCTTCATAAGGATATTATAGGAAGTGATATCAGTGATCTGTGGGATCATATTGAACTATTTCATAATTAAAACATTACATAAAAGCTACAAGCCCTGACAGAATATTAAATGAAAATAATAGTCATATTAAAGTGGAAAAAGACACAAAAAAGGTCACTTCGGCTGCAGTGGAGAAGACCACAGATATAAGGTTTCCGTAGGAGGATAAAACTGACATAAAATAACATAAATCCTCTATTGGAACATATACAAATAACAGAGATTATTCATGAGGTAATACTGTATTTACGTCTCCAATGCTAAATAACTCCACAGATTCTTTCCTAAGCTGTCTTACATAATAAGGGACCACTTGCTCAGGGCACACTGGATCCACTAAGGTTGATTTCTGGACGCATTCAAAAAGGACAAACGCCACTTTGTGTCCACTTGACAGCTCGTTATTGATGTGGTCCTGCTGAAGTATATTGGTTGTATCCCTGCAGAGAGAACTCATCTCCCAGGAGGCTGAATTTCAACAAGTCAGGCCATAATTCGTTTAACACATGGAGAGCATGGGGGCTTTATGAACCGCAACAAAACAGTGACATCATTTGCTCGGGGTTTTGGAGAATGTTAACCGGCAGCTTAATGCACAGTAAGGTAAATAAATCAAAGTTATGTCCGCTTCCCTCCGTTAAGTGGCTGGATTAGTTTTTTATGGTGAGCTCACTGGCACAGAACAGCTCCTCGCAGAGGATCTCCTGTTATTCATCCAGTTTGAAAGGCGCTAATAAAAGAAAGTGTAGTTGTAGGGGCTTATAGGAGACAATGGGCTTTGATCATGAGCTGCTCTGCTGTTTATTATGAAGCCTAATTGGTCATTACTGTTTTACTCACTGTAATAATGGCTGGTACCCCCCCCCCTTCACTCAGTGTGCTGTGGTTTACAGATGCCACTGAAATAAAACAGTTTATATGTAGAACTTTCTTACTAACATATAATTAGTTTTTAGTGCAGCTCATAATCCCATAAAATTTAAGTTTCCAGTTTAGCATATAAAGAGGTAATAATGTGGAATATGATCATGTAATACTAAATCCTTGACTCCACAATATACATAAAAACCCAGCCTTTTAACCTGAAACTAACTTCCCATGTCCACATTTCCCATCTCTCCTGCCTGTGCTTGCCCTAATTTGACTTGGCGTGAGACAAGATAATCTCTCCTCTCTCCAGATAAGAGCATCAGTTAAATACCTAAAATGTAAATCTATAAAAAAAACACAAAAAAAAACACAGACACACATCCGCTGCTGTCTACTCGATCTCTTTTCAGATGGCGTTGCATGGCTCATTGTCACTAAATGTTGCGTGACTTCTTCTACTTGGATCGTCTGCGCCGGCCCCTCAAAAAGTTCCACATGAACGTCTATTGTAGAGCAGACAGAGGAAAGTATAGGCTGTCTTTGAACTGTTGCACGGATGAGTGGAGAATAACTAGTTCTTTAGAAACAGGAGGGGATGTCATGTACCTTTGAAAGACTGACAGCTTAAATAAGAGGCAGTTCTCAGTCCATCACAGACATTCATTGGAGACCTATTATTAAACCTTCTCCCTTTGCTTCTTAGTTGAACCTGCCCGGTGACTCCCTCTCCCACTGTCGTAGGGTTAAGCTCGTTCCCTGCCCTGATCGCAAAGCTGTGCTTCAAGCAGCCTCAGCCTCTCCAAACAAATAAGATTTTACAAGTCATTTCCTCCAGTGAGCGTGTCGAGCAGAGACAATAAACAGCAGTAATTGTGTCTCTCACTGTCGTGTTTGAACTGTGAAGGAAGGGGTGTTAGAGGGCTTCACACCCCGCTCCAAGGCAAGGTCCCATCCTCAGCGCCTGGAATACATAAACACTGATTGTTATTCAGCTGGATCAGCATATTATTGGCTAATCAAGGCTCCCCCTTTACTCCACCGCTGTATCCGGTGACAAAGACAACCGGCCTCTGTGCATGTGTTTGTTTGCATTCGTGTGTGTGTGCATAAATGTGTTGAAGAGTCACCGCTCAAGACGGGGTTATGATATTTATATTGGTTTGGAGTCATGGTTGAATTAATTTCTTCAAAGGCGGCTGCTCCATAAAGGACCACACAATGTCTGTCAGGGTAAGGTGGCTGGCAGCTGAAGAGATGTGGCCCCAGGCACAGATTTGTAGTGGTCTGACAAAGTGTTGACGCTGACGAATATAAACTCTTCTCTTCACTTCTTTCTTCTCTCTTTCTGCTGCTCTGTTCACCTGCAGTGAGAGCAAAAGCATCATTAAGCCTTATTTATCCAAGAAGATTGTGATCTAGATGTGTTTTGCAGAAGACCTGAGAGCAAATTACATATACAACATCGCAACAAGACGATTCAGTCAGACAAAGCAGCCGTCACACACAGATGCAGTGACAGAAACATCACAAATATTAAAATGACGTAAAATAGAAGCGTCTGAAAGAAATGAGTATCTCCAACTACAGTTTGTATGGCAGTTTGCCACTTGTGTGCTTGTAATTTAATTTTCAGCTTTAAAATATGATAACAAATGATGCATAGTTTATTTATTTAACCGCTTTTATTTGGAGTTTACCAAATGTTTTACTAGATTAAAAACCAAAAAAACCACAGAGAAATAAGCAAACAGCTGAACAGAATTACTGTAAGACGAGTGACAGAAACACATTTAGACCAGATCCAATGAAAAGCAGCGATGAAAAATAAAAAATAACAAACAAAAAATGAAATGAAAATGAAGTCAGCAAAAAACAAAAAAAAAAAACAGAGGTTTTTGCATGTTGCATGGAAACAGTGCATGCTTTACATCACTGACAGCATGTCCCGCATTTTTTGTTTGGCTTTGAACTTTTCCAGAAATAAGCAGTAATCCATTGTATTAAACATTTCAATGACTTTTCTATTTGATTTGTTATGTTATCATGATGCAGGAAGTATTTTGAAACTTTCGCTAGTGCGTTCAAGGCCACTCCACCATCTGAGATTTCTACAAATGACATAATTTTTTTCATGACATTCATGTCCTTACCATTCGTCTCCTGAATTAGATGATCTGACAACATATTTTAGCTCAGATGACCTGATGACATCACTATGACATCATCTACTCTTCACCAACCACCATGTGAAAATATTCTTGTGTCATCTTTCATTTTACATCTCTTCCTGCCCTCCTTCAGATGTAGCAATCATCTACCCCCAGGACCCCGTCCTTCTCATGGGGTCCAACCTGACGGCCAGCTGCTGGGTCCACCCCGACCTCGGCGTCCACGCCAGCTCTTTGTTCTGGACGCTTAATGGTCAACAGCTGCCCACCTCCCTCTACAGAGTGCTGAGCCCGACCAACCTCAGCGTGACGCTGGCCGGACTCAACGCCTCCAGGCAGACGTCCGGAGACAACCTGGTTTGTCACAACCACAAGGGACACATCTTGGCCGGCTCCTGCCTCTACGTGGGGAGTAAGTTGAAGTTTGTCAAGGGTTGCAGTGAGTTTTTAGTTCGGTTTCACTAATGTAGAAGTTTGCTATTTCATATTTTATTCTATTTAAGCATCCAAGATACTTTTTAACTGTATTCATTTGCCTTGTTTGACTCTCTGCTTCGCTGTTATCAACAAGGGAGACAACAAGAAAGTAGTGGGCAGATTTTTGAAGTGTCCCTCCACAGTTGTGGCTGTATTTTCTGTTTAGTATTCCTGCCTTCAGGCCCAGTCAGAGGCCTCTATGAGTGTGTGTCACTGTGCAACGCTTTGACCACCTGTGTGGTCCATTACTCGCACTATCACTCACAGTGTGGGTCTGACATTTTGTGCGCGTGTGCGCATGCGCACACACACACACACACACACACACACACACACACACACACACACACACACACACACACACACACACACACACACACACGTTTGTAATACTTATTACCTAACCTAAGAAATAGTTTGTCATTTTGGGAAGTAGGCTTATTTGCTTTCTTGCCGACAGTTAGATGAGAGGAATAATGCCACTCTACAACTCTGTAGAATAAATATAAAGTTACAGCCACAGACAGTTAGCTTAGCTTAGCATAAAGAAGGCCCTGTTCACACCTGGCATTAAAATGTTTTTCCACATACGTATGCTTCTTGGCCCATCCGGCCCTTTTATTAGTGATCTCTTCATGTCACCAAATCTCAGCAATTAACTGGATGAATACCATCTTATTATTATCAATAAAAATGACGACTGAGGCAACGCAAATAAAACCAAAACCCAAGTTATAATTAACTGGAATTATCCTTTAACCTTCAAAAAGCCCCTTGGAGAAATGAGGACCACCCAAAATGTCCTCACTCTCAAGGTCTAAAATTAAAAATTGTCATCACAAAGATGAAGTACACATGGGCGCACAGACAACACATGCACACACACACACACACACACACACACAGAGCTGCGGTCGGGATCTTAATCTTTGTGCGACACTGGTGTTGAGCACCCTGTGTTCTGAGAGAGGAGGAATGTTGGCGGGGATCCTGAGTCTGACCAAATGAGACTACACACACACACACACACACACACACACACACACACACACACACACACACACACAGAGACCAATTAAGAAAAAAACACCATTTTCTGAGGAACATTACTAGTGGGTGAATTACACTCAAGAGGAAGGGGCTGAAGTAATGGCTGGAGGTAACTTTGTACCCTCACTGACCCTGTGTCTCTCCTTACCTTCTCTCTCTCCCTACTTCTTCTCTCTTCCTCCTCACCCATTTCTTCCCCCTCTCTCTACTTTCCCCCTCTCACCCTCTCTTTCCATCTCTCCCTCTTTCTGTCCCAGTGCCTCCAGAGAAGCCGGTCAATCTGACCTGCTGGTCCAGGAACACCAAAGACCTGACTTGCAGCTGGGCTCCAGGAGGAAGAGGAGAGACCAACATTAGCACCCAGTACACGCTCAAGTACAAACTCAGGTATGGAAGCACGCCACAGCTACACTAAGGAAAAGTGGCTGTCATTTAATCCACAATGGAGTTTGAAAATCAACTTTTTTTATAATAAAATTGTCATGACAAAAAATTTGTGACAAATACAATGTGTTTCCTGTGACTGCTTCACATTAAAAGCCCTGGGTTTCACTTTTAATGTGAAGCAACAGCAGCAGGAAACGTTCAGTTTGCATTAGCAACTTAATACAGCTCTGATACAGTGTTAGGAGAGTGAACAATTAGCCTGACAGTGGGGCTGATATCAATGAGGTAAAATTAACTTCACTGGATTTTGCCAGTGAATTCCTTGTGCATGTGAAAATAAATTGAGTCTTTCTGTAGGATGGAGGACTCCACCACTAATGAAATCTAATAAAAGAGAAGTAATAACATAATGTAAAGAAGTTGAATACAAACAGGAAGATAGCCAACAAGCAACAATTTTGTCATCTGATTGCTTACAGCTGGATCTAGCTAGCTAATTAAGCTAAGTTAGCTTCATGAGCTGGTCTATAGCTCCTACTTCCTCAGCATGAATACTGATTCAACATGTGGAGAAATCCAAAGGTCAATAAGCCTGCTGTGGTTAGTTAGGATTTCTAAGCTATCATTGGACAATCAGAGAGAAAGGGTTTAACGAACGGTCAAGTGGTAGCATTTCCGAGTAGCCTAACTTATTCTGAAAATTACAGCATGTAGAGACATGCTGTGACTATGCCATAGGCCCGTAAATGAAGCCGAGTGCAAACCAACAACAAAAAACATCCAAGTGTTTCAGTGGGTTAAACATCTAACTCGGTGAGCACGTTGCAAATGTTTCCACTCCAAATCAACATGTTTCAAGAGATTTTTTATAATACTGGCAGGCCTGAAAAAAGCCCCAGAAACCAGATAAAGTAGAGCTTGAAACAAGACCAATTACCTTATCTTTCTGGCAGATCTCATTTTAAGAAAAATGAAAATGAGTTTCAGATGGGATGTAAGGGATTTAAAAAGGGAAATGACTTGACATGCAGTGCCCACAGGCGTGCCAACACACAGAGATCTCTTTTTGGAGTCAAATTAGTGTAAATAAGGACTTAATAAAACCACTAATGCCAGATAAACTTTTAACTAGTGACAAATTCTGTATCACATTCATTATTCACAGATAATGACTGCTATCCAGAGTTGCTTCAGTGTTTTCTGTTTTCCCTCCAGGTGGTATGGTAAGGAGAAGGAGTGCGAGGATTATACACACACCCAGCCTTACTCCTGCAGCATCACCCGGGACCTGCACCTCTTCACACCCTACGAGATCTGGGTGGAGGCCTCCAACCAGCTGGGCCGGGCTACCTCTGACGTCATAACCCTCGACATCCTAGACGTTGGTAAGTGTGAGAAATAGTGAACTTTGACCCTCTTCTTTTCTACAGCTTAGATCACCATGTCAATGAGCCCCTAGGCTATGATCTAGGACAGTGGATACCAACCTTTCAAGCTTGGGAGCCTTAGAAATTAAGCAATCTCCTTGCAACACAGATTACATGTGTTTACAAGTTGTGAGCAGTTAATCTAGTGAAGGATTTTGTGAATTTCCCTTCTCTTTAGCCTTATTTGACTCCCAATTAGCTTCTTTATAGGTTGCTAGTCTTCCTGGGGTTTGCTTAAAATTATACAAATAAACAGCAACTTAAAATCAATATCAATAAACTATAAAAACTAAAAAAAAAATCCAAAGGTGAGGCAACAATAACCAAATTAAAACAACATCTATGTAAAATCTGTAGGGAAAATAGTCCCAATCTTCATCTTTGGTTTAACTAATTCAGGCTAACATAATGTCAGCTGGCTACAATAATCATGTTGATTCTCATCCAGTTTACAGGGCTCTTTGAATGCAGTTGGAGGATTGATTTGTTCATCTTAGTAGTAGTTAATTTCAAGGAATTTGGGGAAATACACTTATTGACTTCCATTGCCAAATTAGATAAGAAAATCAACTGTGATTAGTTTGACATTAAACCTATAAACAGGAGTAAACAGCTAGACAACAGATAAAAACCCTAAACTGTACAGCTTATTGATTAATACGTTAGAGCTTATGTGTCAGATCCTCTCCTGGTGGCAGCAGTAGCTATTCATTCCCCATCTCCAGTCTTTATGTTAAGATAAACTGAATGTCTCTGGTCTGTAGCCTCATACTGAATGGACAGACATGCAGAGGTTTTATATCAGTCTTCATAACTAACTCTCAACATGAAATGTAAAAATCCAGGAGTCATCACTGTGAGGTTAACAGGCAACCAGCCTTGAACAGATAAATCTTTGTCTCTTTTATTCCCACAGACAGGACATTGGCTTGAGTTCTGTGGCTTCTGTCTTTTGAAGAAAATTTTTCACATGTTCTCATCCAGCTTCACACTGATAGGAGCTGAGCAGTGTTCCCTTTTAAAGCTTTGTTATGTGGTCCGTTGCTTAGCTTAGCTTAGCGCGGTTTAAGCAAATGGAGCATGCAATAAGACCAAATTCTTCTCCCATTACCCCCCCCCCCCCCCCAAAAAAAAAACAAAAAAAAAAACACTACACACTCATACACACATGCCCACACCTGGACACGCGTAGGTGTGTGATGAATGGAAACGCCCTGTCTTTAGATGAGCTCAATTTCTCTTTACTCATGCCCACTGGACACACACACACGCAAGCGCACACACATGCACGCACACACATGCACGCACGCACGCACGCACGCACGCACACACGCAGACCCCCTTTTATGAAGTGTTGGAATGTTCCAGACTGATCCTCGAACCTAATCCCGTCTCAGAACTGGCTGAAAACCCCTGAGGCCTGAGGAGTTTGGGCTTTGAGGCTTTAAGACTTGGACCTGACATAATACAACCTGATTAGCTTGCAACTCTTCACCTGGTTCACCCCTAACACGCCGCTAACGGTGCCGGGAAAATGTGCCGAGAGAACACCGTATAGAGTTTCAGATGTGAACACGTCACTGGCGATCAAACTGTAATCCGTTTCCGTTGCCTGATGTATGCACACACACACACACACACACACACCTGTTTACACACCCTGAGGGCAGGGCAGGGTCTGGTAACAGTATAGAACTAGAGAGGCAGGCAGGGTGTAGGCGGTTGCTGGACTTCCTGTGTGTGTGTGCGTTTTGTTTCGCTCAGGTTACCCTCACCGTTCATTTCAGTGAGGTTGTTTCCACAACAACAGCGTGTCATAAAACAACCACACCTGCGTGTTCGAGCTGCTCTGACTCACTCATGTCGACGGTCATGTCCAATCAGTTACAAAGGCGAGGCAGAAACACCTACAGTTTTCTCTACATTCCTCAGTCATGGGGAGCCCTCTGAACCGAGAGACTAGAGGCAACTTGTATTGGTGTCTCACTCTGGAGATGAGGTTAGCTGAGGAATGACGACATATGTAAACAATGATTGATTTTGTAATCTGTCATGTCTCATTGACTTTTATGGCAAAATACATATAGCGTACAGGAGTAAAGCATTTGCTGTCATCACATTCTTTATTTCAAATGACATTTAAAAAATGTTCTCATGCTGTTGCTTCACATTAAAATGTCAGGAATTACTGTGGTTGCAACAATTTAAAGTTTAATTTATCTCATTAATCTTAGGATATCTTTGGTTTTCTTGTAAACAAGACAACTCTGAATGAAACCTGTTGTCTGTCTTTCCAAATTAAAGACAGTCAAAATTAGAAATGCTGTGTTAAATAATGTATATGCAGCTTTTCTACAAAGAGCACTGTCCTTTAGTGCCTCATCTTTGAATGATGTTCCATTCCAGCGTCTTTAATGCTAAATTTGAATTCAGTTATTTTCTTTTTATGCAAAAAAAAAAGTCTTGCCTGCAGCTCTTCTCTCAACAACAGGTACAAACGCCGTTCAGACGATAGGGCAGCAGCCTCTTTGTTGCTGAGAGGTGAATCACAGGGCATAGAAAATCAAGGAAAACACTGTGCTGGTCGGAAAGCTTAACTGCTGTGAACGCAGGAATAACTGAATATACAGCCTGACAGCAGTAAGAGTTTAGATTTTAGTGAATAAATCAGAGTGAAACTTGAAATGTAGGGACAGACAAGTGATTCTGAAAAGTAAAAATTATACTCTTATACTCTCCTGTGGTCTTAAGAAGAATACAGGAGTATATCACTATTGCAACCAACTATTCTAAATTTCTTTCCCCATTGGTTCAACCTAAACCATCAATCAATTATTTGAATTAACTGTAGTTTATCTTCACTCCATTCTTCCTACCTAATTGCATATACTTTTTGCTTGTCATTGGTTTGGGAAATTAATGTCACCACAATGGATGGATTATTGAACGGGCCTACCAGGCCAAAGACTCTGCCTGAAGTGACTATTAATATTTCCTGTTTAAAAGGTCCTTGAGCTGAGTTAAAAGACACAAAATGAACTACAAAGACATGCAAAACCAGAGGCTAAATGACCAAAAAATACACAAAACTACCACAAAGATGCAAAAAAATGAACTTTACCAAAGCTTTCTTAGCTTTACTCTCCACTTTTGTGTTAAAAATAAATGTTTTTCTAAGAGGGCTGACCGCTAACATTGGGTTTACACTTTTTAAATCGCCCATGGTACTATTTGAACTAACACATTTTACTTTAGAGAGAGTCTCTGGTTCCTGGCGACCAGAAACAAATCCTCTAAAACTCCCGTGTCAACTCCCACTTTTTCCCTCCACTGAGTCTTTCCCATCTTCTTCTTCTTTCCCCTGGACCGTCTTGTTTGTTTACTGGTAAGGGATGACATTATGAAAAGGAACTGAAGTCGCTATTGAAACGATCTCAAAAGCCCAAAACCAAACGCAAGGAAAGTTAAAATAATGGTCTGTCACCACATGTTTGTTTGTCGAAAAGATAATTGTTGTCAGATGAAAAACCCACTTCCAGCTCACATAAGTCAAGTCTTCAGAAACTGGAAGGCTCTCAGCGACCACAAACCTCCGCCAACGCTGAACAATCCTTCAATGTGCTCCAACACATAAAGACATAACTCCTACCATTTAAAATTTGAATTGAATGGATTTCTTGACCCTGCAAACATAACCTTAGGATCTAGAAAGAAGCCCCATAGCTATGGATTTTTGAGCCTTAGCTAAAAATGACAATCTGGGCCATCTGTCCACCAGAAGTTTATCATTATGTTCTTAGGATAGAAATAAACTTGTTGGGTGTAATACATTACTCATGAAATCATTGTACAGATTTTATACAGTGATTTTCTGCTTAAGATTATATTACATTAAAAACAAGCGACTGATTTATTTTTCTTGTGCTAATTAATATTTTTAAATTAACAATTGATCAAAAAGTGGGTTGCTCATAGTGACAAACCAACCAATTAATGCACAAGCTTTTTAGCATCTTTCAGCTCATTGTTTTGATTGACATATTTTTGATTTTACAACTTTGATTTTACAACTTTGCTGTTTGGGTTCAGTCTCATCATCCTTGTTCCCAGCCAAAGAAGACCTCAGATGAACCAACTATATTAATATTTTGTTTATATTTTTTATTAATACTGCAGCAGGCCACCACGGGGCGATCGAGATGTATTGGCTTCACTTTTGGGGAGCTGTCATGTCATCCATCATACAGTCATTGGTCAAAATATATTCAAGTTAATGTGATTAAATGTGAATGTGCTGGATTAGCACTGCAGCGAATTATTATTTTCATTATCTATTAATCTGCTAATTCATTTTATCCGTCCAATTATCTTGTTTATAACGTGTGAAAATATTGAAAAAAGACCACTGCATATTCCCACAACCCGAGGTGATGTCTTTGAATTGCTTGTTTTTTCTGACCAGCATTTAAAAACCAAAACAAAACTAGATTATGAATTTACTCACATAGAAGACTGCAAATATTCACAGTTTCCAGAGTTTCAGCTCTTGATGAGATCTTCTTACTTAATAACCCGCTCCATCTCCTCTACCTCCCAGTGACCACTGACCCTCCGTCAGGTGTGACTGTGAGTCGTGTCGGGCAGTTGGAAGACCAGCTGAGTGTTCGTTGGGAGGCCCCACCTGCTCTCAAAGACTTCCTGTTCCAGGCCAAATACCAGATCCGCTACAGACTGGAGGACAGCCAAGACTGGAAGGTAAAGGACACAAGGACACACAGTTATAAAGACAAATTATACAGATTAATCTGCTCTCTTTTTGTCTCTCGCACTCAAACGGACGCATATCACTGCAGCACTGTTCCAGCTGTTTCTCATCCTCATGCTGTAATCACCTCTAATCTAGTCTGATTGAAGCCTTCTCCGCCAGATGAGTTAGTAGTTGGGCCGGTCAAAAACTTTCATAAGTCATAAATCTAGAAGTCGGGTTCTGATCGGGAGAAAAACACAGGCCAGAGCCACTGTGTATACCTCTTTTTAAGCTTTTAATGAATGAAAAATACAGTGTAAAACGTTCAGCTATGCAGATGGTGCTTTCCAGAATTCACTCGAGTCCTCTGGGTAAGAGTGAAGATTCTCCAGTAATTAAGGGGGAATTACACAGATGTAATATAAGCAAGTCTTTGCTCGCAAAGTAGAGACAGAAAAGAAAAGGGGAGTGGAGCGGCGGTAGAGGGATGGGACCATTTTTCGGAGGAGGAGAGAGGAGACTTAAATCCAAGTGGCTTTAAGGGTTTGGTAGTGAAAACAGAACGCTGTAACCAGCCTTAATCATGAGGTCATGCTGAGGAATGGAGGGATACATCTCAATTGTTAATGTCTTCAATATGGCCGTAAAAAAACGCTCAGCAGTGACTTCTGCCGATTTGGCCTCCCCACGTCACATCATTAGCCCTCTGATGCCTGTAATTTCCGTGTTCTGTTTTCTGTTGGAGTCGCCCTTAACAAGTGTTTACAGACTGAATGCCAGAGAGAAAGTGGGGGCTATTAGACAAGATTATTAACTGCAGTGTGTGTGTGTATGTGTGTGTGTGTATGTGTGTGTTTCTTTCTCTGCATCTATTTGCCTGTCTTTATTTTTGCTGTCTGTATGTTTGTGTGAGTACCTGTGCACGCTCCTGTGTGTGTGCATGTGTCTGTGTGTGTCCCAGCATATCCAGCCCTGTAATAAGTAATAGAGAGCAGATTTTACCCAGCGAGCACGATATCATTAAAATATTTTCATAAACATGCTGATCAGGAGCCACCAAACAATGTGGTGTGCATGCATGTTTAGGTCTGTACATGGTTTGTGGTTGTGTTTTCTTGATTCTGCCCTGTGTTTTAGTTTATACTTGTTGGTATTTAATACTGCGGTCAGACCTCCAGTGCTCAACTCTGTGTTTGTCCCTTTTGCTTTTTTTTTTTGTTGTCTGTCGTGTAGGTGATGGATGACGTCGGGAACCAGACTTCTTGTAGACTGGCTGGACTGAGACCAGGGACCGTGTATTTTGTCCAGGTATGGTGTGGATATGTGTGTCCACGTGTTAATGATAATGTTGGTCTGTGTTTCAGAGCCTCAAAATGTTTTATTTTCTGCAGGTCCGCTGTAACCCCGTGGGCATCTATGGCTCTCGCAAAGCTGGAATCTGGAGCGAGTGGAGCCATCCCACTGCTGCATCCACACCCCACAGCGGTGAGCGCACACTCATACGCACACAGTGCATCTCACTTCTCAGTTTCCGAGAGCCTTTTGGTCAATTTTAAGAGGTACTTTGTGCCGCTACAATTTGTTTTGTACCACATATCCCGCAGGTCTCTCCCACTGCTTGAAACTGGCAACGTCATAGAAGAAGTAGATGGTGCTTTTTTAGCCTTCTTGTTCAGTCCTGAAGCCTGTTTTATGTTGTATCCTCCTCTTCCTGCAGAGCGGTTAATGTCAGGCTCCTGTGACTCAAAGTCCAGCGGGGACTCCAACTCCACCCTGCGCAGGGAGCTGAAGCAGTTCTTCGGCTGGGTGCGGAAACACGCCTACGGCTGCAGCAGCATGTCCATGAAGCTGTACGACCAGTGGAGAGTGCTGATGCAGAAATCCCACAAAGCTCGCAACCAGGTAGGTAAGCATCACTAATGCAGGGATGAAACACTGACACGCAGACATGTGCTGCACACACATGCAGTTTTTTTTTTCTACAAAAGCTGATTTGTAACAGATTTTGTCTTTTAATTCAGGTTCTCCAAGGGGATAAATCCTAGCACATGCTGCATTTACAAGTCAAGAAAAGAACTGAGTGTGATTTGTGTTTTTGTCTATGTGTGTATGAGAAGTGAGAAAGAGATTGTATTCGTATATGGGAATTATAAAGACAGTTTGTGTGGATACCAGCAACGGACGTGAGAGGACATCTAAAGGAAAACAGTGGAATTTATGCATCTTCTCCAGTCGACATTAGCACTGTTCTTCTCTGAAAGCTGCAACTGGGAGGGACTGAGAAGGTCATCACAGACATCCCTGTATCACGTGGACTACTCTGCCCTCACAAAAGGAAATTGTAGCATGAATAGCTTGGACATCAGTAAAGGCTTTCAACAGGTACCTGCTCTAAATGTGCACAGACACAGTCAAAACAGATTCAAGCAAAAACTCAAGTGTTGCCGAAGCATCTAGAAGTATTCTGTGACCTTTCCGGGTTCCTCCTGTGGATTCAAAGCACCCTCTAGTGGCTGTTCAGCGTCCGTGGAGACCCCGATCAATCAAAGCTTTCACTGTGGTCCCCATGTAAAAAGAAAAAAAAGTAACTAATTATCATTCAGTATTCTTAAATCATTCTTTGCTATATAAGTGGATAATGTGCCAAACTGGTTCACCCAGGATTCCTCTGTTTCTGAGTGACAGTATGTGACTGACGACATGATGGTGTTTGTTTATGGAAACGTTTCACTGCCTTTATTTTTGTACTGAATTGTACCAGCATATTTAAAACTGTATAAAGTTATGTTTTATTTCTTAAGTTATGTTTAGTTAGTAAAGAAATATCAATGACTGAAGCTGTTATCGATCTTTAGACTTGTTCTTTAAGAATGTTGTCAGAAAAATGGAGATAGGAAATGATATGTATGCAGTCCAAACAGCAGTTTGTGGCTAAAAAGAACAAATGTACGGTGGCCCTGAGAGCTCAACACTATGCAACGTAAGAAAAAGGCATGCAAAGACACAGATGAGCTGCAGACTCAGAAAACATCCTCATCAGTTTGACAACACATGCGCTGCAAAAAATCACAGCACATTTAAATAAACAAACGCACTGCAAATTCAGTCCAACACAATGTAAGAGTTTCCATGGGACACAAAAAAGTGATGAACCTACGGGACTTGTTCAATGCCCAATTGTGACTTTTGAAGTTAAAAGTATTGAATAACAAGTGCGTCACAGCCGAGTTTACTACTTTTTTCTTTTTAAGTTATTTTTGCTTTAATTCTGATAGCTAGAGAGTGAGAGTGAGAGAGAGAGACAGAAAGAGAGGATATGTCGCGAAGGGTTGGACTCGAACCCGCGCCGCTGCACTGCGTGTTACGTTGTGTTGTAGGACTGAATTTGAATTTGCAGCGCGTTTGTTTATTTGCCTATGTTGTGATTTTTTGCAGCGCATGTGTTGTCAATTTGATGAAGATATTTTCTGAATTAGCAACTTCTTTTTGTCTTTGCATGTGTTTTCTGAAGTTGAAGTGTGTTGAACTCTCAGCTCTCATACTAATGTGACAATAGTCACATAAAACAGCATTTCTCTTCATTTTTTCCCCCAATAAGCAGAATGCATGAAACCATGTGTGCCATTGTAACAGTTGAGCTCCGTGTATTTTGGTTGAAGCAGTTCGAAGAGTGTGGCGGAAGGAGAAGAAGACAGAGGACTTACGTCCGCACAGGCGCTGGGACTTCCACAGTACTACTCGTCGTTTATTAATTTACTACACTTCAGCTTTACCATGCCTGGTTGGACGGCTCTATCTTATCATACATGAACAAAACAGAAGCCACGCGCAACCTAAACGTTACTCGGGTTGAGGTGCGACAAGAACTAAGGAGCTCATTAGCAGGTATCCACTCTTGCACAGGTGCGACCATTCACGTATGGGGGCGACTTACTTAAGGAAAACGAAAGCGCGGTCCGATGACGTTGCTCCTTCGTATCTAGGTAACGCAGCATGTCTTAAAGGCACATTTCACAACTTCAACTGTTAAACGATCAAGATTGATAACATTGGTTGCTACTCAAAGAGGAGAAAGGAGGTCTAGTCAGTATATTTGCTGTATTAAATATTCTACATTTTGTCTGTATTTAGTGTAGTAAGAGTAGTAAAAGATTCTGCATTTATATTATTTTTCATATTTTTCATATATTTTTTTAGCCAGAGATGTCTTCTCAGAAAATACAAATTTTAACAGATAGATAGATAGATAGATAGATAGATAGATAGATAGATAGATAGATAGATAGATAGCAGTTCATTAGTAATATTAATAATTAATAAATATCAGTCAGTCATCAGATGGCAAAGTGAGCACAACCAGATTAAAGCTCCTTCACACCCATGGCTCATACATCTCATATGGGTGCCTAAACGCTTCCTCACACATTAAGAGTTTTTTGTCACCTGACAATTAACACTCTTAAACATTCTTATTAGTGAACCTCTTTTTGAGACGTCATGTATTTCTCAAAATATCTCCACTCAACATAAACCTGAGTAGATATTTAATTAGTACTTGAAAACACTTGCATGGGTGTCCAGGGCCTTTAAAAGTATCGTAGGAAGCATTCAGCTCACACCAGAGTTATAGTAAATTAGCATACTCCAAATGTGTTGTTTTATTGTTCAAAAGCTGCAACTGGATCCAGAACAACATCAAATTACACACAGTGGTAGTGGGATATCATGCTGAATCTGCACTCTTGGGCAATTCTGGGAGTAGTAGCGTAGAGTTTAGGGATAAATTCATCAAATTGTGATCATGCACATGTCATCTTAGTTTGACTTGTAACTAAAAAATCTCAAGACCTACAACATTTTAACAACCATAGAGAGGTCAAGGTTTACGTGCACAAACATAAAATGGCACGTGCTGGTCACATGGTGGCACTATAAATCTCACCTCACATAACTTTTAGATCTGTGAATGGGTTCCTGTGCAAACTGAATAACAGCAAGGAGTGGAAACATCACAAGCTGCTAATGTATCCCAGCTACATCTTATCCCAGCCCCACGTCAGTGACTTACATCATTTCACACGTCTAACACTGTTCGCTGCACTGTCTCATAGTTTTTCAGGGAAACTTAAAGACTGGTTGTGTTTCTGCGTGCAGCAGTGAGTTCATCTCCTGCTCTGTGACACTGCAGAGTCTTGTTACTGAGCCTGTGACCACTCAAGAGTCACTGGTGCTTAATATTTAACCAGTGTGGGGTTTTTCTTGGTCATGGCTCTGCACTAAAGGCTTTAGTTACCTCTGTGCTCAGCGACAGACTGAGAGAGCAAGAGGGTGAATTTCTACCTGAGTTTCTCACACTGGAAAGTAAATAGCGTTGTCTTTGCCAAAGGTTAATCCTCCTCAGGGCTTCTCTGCCACAGTTGACACTTTTCAGATGCTGTCCGGGTGCTAACCTCGCAGAGACAGTGGTCTGCTATAGAATATGCTGGAGTTTTCTGGCAGCAAACCAAATTCCCACAACCACAGAAACTGGTTTTGAGTCTTGGGCATTTTTATCCTATTTTAGAGTTTTCAAGTTACAAGTTTTCAGGGATTAAATGGAGGTTATTATATATTTGAAACATATTAAGCTTTTTTGAAAATTAAAACAATACTAGTTTATCAGTCTTACAAATGTTCTGTCGCCCTGTCTGCTTATCAGGTAATGCAAGAGTTGTGCTACAAGTTTTTTCCTTTACTTACATAATGGTCCAATACAACACTGTAAAATACTCATTAATTAAAGTACAAGCACAGAAGTATTATCCAGAAAATATATCTAAGGAATCAAAAGTAAAAAAGTTGTGCTTCACACATTCATATTCATTTTTTGGACTTTAATCATAACCTTTTGCAAAATTATTGCCCATTTTTATCCCATTGGGTCTCAAACAGTTTATTTAAATGAAACATCTGAAAGTTTAGAAGGGAAATCTCTCAAATGTCGTGGATTAGAAGGATAAAGCAGGATTAAATGGAAAAGTACAATAAAAGTACCTCATAACTATGAAAATATACTGATATGAAATATATTTTTGGAAAAAAAAAGTAATACTCACCAGTCCATGGTTTTCATTACAGTGATGTTCAACAACAAAAGATCAGTGTAAGTCCTTTCATTTTTAATAGTATGTATACAAGATGCTGTTACTTACAGTATACATAGTGCAGTTGAGGGGTTCACCGGACATACTATAGCACTGTTGTACTATGGTAACCTAATGCCTTGGAATAGGATGTCAAATGAACTACATTACATCTTACTGGCATGGCTAATGTTGCAATGCTTTAAGGCTTCACTTCAAAAGAACACTTTCCCTTTGGATCTGTATGTTCATCGCATGATCAGCTGCACAGAAGCAGCTTCAGTGCTCCTTTGTTTCACATTCACCTATCAAAGACATCTCTAAGATATCTCATTTCCAAACAATCAATGGTTCTCCTCTTTTTAACCTCGACACAGTTGACTTTGAGGCCACAGCTGCGAAACCTTTTTGGACCTTGTGGGAAAAAGGAGGTCGAGAGCAGGGCTGGGGCGTATCCGGGGCCTCGGTCAATATAGGGTTTCTTCACCTTGTGGTCATGTATAATTCAGTCTGGGAGGCCGCTGATCACCTGGAGAGAGCCACACAAGAACAGGATGTGTCTGAAGTGACAGAGGACCCAAAGAGGAAGAGAAGAGGACAAAGAAGAGGGGAGAAAGAAGTTGGCAGAGTATGGAGGAGGTGGTGAAGAAACGGCCGATAATCTCTGCGAGAGAAAGAGGTCAGTTTAAGAAATCTGTATGGCTCTGTGTGTGTATGTATGTGTGTGTGTGTGTGTGTGTGTGTGTGTATGTGTGTATGTATGTGTGTGTGTGGGGAGGGGTATACATGCACATGGACTGTATTATAGCTGAACTGGTTTTGGTATAAAATCTCAGAGCGTTATACAGTCATTGCTCAATACTCATTTGAGAGTTCTACTTTGTTTAGAATTCACCCCCAAACAAAAAGGACGTTAAAATGCATAACCATAGAAAATAAGTCAAAGAGCTCCATATGGAAATCATCAGAGACAACACAGCCCGAGCTAAAGCGTGGTGGGTGTGCTATACTGCTGCTTGGAGCTGAATCTGTTGCATCATTTTCATCACTGTCCTACTCCTCCTCCTCCTCCTCCTCCTCTTTCTCATTGTCAGGCCCGGGACCTGGACGCTACGCTCTGCCCCCTACAGTTGGATACATCAACCATGACTTCACCAAACCCAGCAGCCCCGCATACTCCTTCCACGGCCGCACGAGCAGTGAGTTTTCATGTGTTATAATGGTCTGCAATGGCAGGGATCCTAAATGTTTCATGTTCACATTTTTTCAAGCTAAATACCTGTATGGAATTGGTTTACTCCACTTTATGAGGTCAAAAGATGTCTGTGGATGATCATTTGTTTTCATCATTGTTTTCTGTAGTGGTCCCCTTTGACTCCAGTCCGGGACCAAGGTACCACATTGGCGCCAAGGTTACCCGCTTTGGCCGGATGGAGACGCCATCTTACTCTATTTTGGGCAGAGGAAGGCGCACAGGGAGTACAGGTGATATAAACTCCCTTATTACTGGCATATTTATTTATTTATTTATGATATTTTGGGCTGCTTGACCATCATCAGGTATGGTCAGGCACCACAACAGTTCTATATATAAGTTCTATATATATATATATACTGTACATAGAGGCTGGGGAAATCATCCAATCAGAGGACAACAGAAATTAGTTCAATTGGCAAATGAAACACAGTCATCCGGGTAATAAGGTAAAGAAGGCAATCACACTGTCAAAAGACAAGAAAAGGATCAGAAAATGACATAAGTCATAAGGACATATAGTGCCCCAATAAATATAAGTAGATAAGTAAAGAGAATTAAAGGCAAAGCACCATTTCTGCGTTCTTTGGGTTGATTTATTCAGCATCTGTTTTATTTAAGTGGCATTTTGTGTTGTCTGCCTACATACACGATAAAGGTCGAGTGGACAGAAATGTTGTAAATAAAAAATTACAGCAGCAGTAAGCGAGACAGTGTGAGTTTTTTTCAATTTAATAAAGGACAAGAAAAGCAGATTTCCTAAACCAGTTTTTGTCTATATGTACCCAGACGAGCTGTTCCATACACCTGGACCAGGTGCCTACAGCCCAGAAAAGGCTCCGCCTCTCAATGCTCACAGACCTCCATCCTACACCATTGGCGCCCGCACCAGATACCGCTCTATGGATGCTGTACCAGCACCCAACAGGTGGTGCAGACAGACAGATTCGTTTTACTGACAGAATGATTTTTCTTATTTTGATCAGCTAACACATGGACTATCACCAGCCTTATCCTCTAAATCAGAGATGGTGTTTGAAAATCCGAAAGGAAAAGTCTCAGCCTAAGCATTGCTTTCTTTACTCCACCAGCTACAGTCTTCCTAATCTGCTGGGCTGCCAGGTTCCCAACAAACCCTCCAGCGCCAGCTACAGCTTCTCAGGCCGGAGGAAGGTCGGAGCTCCGTCTGAAGATCTCTCCATGAGCCCCGGACCGGGAAAATACAACAGTACAAACCCAGACATCTACCGCCATCGCCAGCCCTCCTTCTCCATGCAGAGCCGGACTAAGAGGCCCAGTTACTCTTCCGCTGTTCCCGGCCCGGGCGCGTACAGCCCGGAGAAATCTCATGTGCATCTTCCCAAACCCCCGTCCTTCACTCTGGGTGTCAGACACTCTGAGTTCGTCACCCCACTAGTGGTGGATGTAGTTGATTGAACAGTCTTTGGATTTATTTCAAATGCTTTTATTTTTCTTCAGTTTTTCAAACAATGTTACTTAAATATCAATTACAACCAAGAGAAGCCAACAGTATTACAACAAATATTAAGACAATTACATTTATTTTGGAAGTTTATTCCTTAATAAATAAAACAAAATATCAACCTTGTATGTGCAGTTAAAACAAGGACGCATCAAGCTGTCTGCAACTCTTCAGTTTGACGTCACCGGTAGCTTAAAAGGAGCGAGGTAAAATAAAACAGGGTGTGAGAGCGGAGTGTCTATGGCTGCGTCCTTGGTATGGTGACGTTCACAGGTGAGCTCCAGTTGCTACACTCGCCCAGACCCAGCAGTTCCATGGCGCACACCTGGAACAGGTACGCATTCCCTGGGCTCAGCGTCTTCAGTTCAACCTTGGTGCTCTCAACCGGACCCAGCTGGAGGAGAAGATGTACGATATATTTTTTAATTAAAAATCATCAAACTGTTTTCCAATTAAGATTTATCAGCTGGAAAGATATGTGGTCAGTTTATTAAGTATTTAATAAACTAATGCAACTAAAGGCTTTATTAATGTTAAGTACGTAATTTGCTATTGTTTATACATCAGATATAACCCGTTAATAAGAACAACTTCTGTTTCTTTTTTCCATTAGGTAATATTGCAGTTATAAGTGACAGTTATCATGAAAATACTTGTGGGTTTCACACTTTCTAATAGGCCCTGAAGCTTGCAATAAGACATGTTGATAAAGTGTTGACTTCAACATCAGCCAAATGAACTTTTCACAAAACCAGATGATCCAAAAGTTGCCCTTATTACTGACTTAAAACTGATCAATAAGTAAATGATGTAGGCTTTGAAAGGCTCACTTATTAGATAATGGTAGGGTAATTAAACTTTTTTTAAAGGTAAATATATAAATTTAATAGCAAACAGGAAAGATAATTCCCCTCAATTAAATGCTTTAATGCTTTAAATTAAAAATATTAGATTGTTTCAAATTATTAAAATAACATGTAAACAAAGAGAAATATGGATTTACAGATGACAGGACTTCTGAAACTTCCTACTCAGAAACATCTTGTGAGTTTGCCTCAAAAGTTTAGGTAATTTTCAGCTCCCACGTGTGGTATCGGTGTGTACGTCAGATGTGGAGTTTTTAAATCACGTTGTTGTTATTGCAATTTCACCCAGCAGATTCTGATGAAGATGGTTCTTACAGTGACAGATTTTGAGGTTCCCCCAATTTCCCACAGGTACTTTATCTGGTATTTCAGGGGGAAGATGTCCAGGTTGGCCCAGGTGAATGGAGGAGACCACTCCACCAGCAAGTCTTTGATATTTTGAGGGGAAACCCGGACGTCTTCAGGAGGGTCTGGTTTCACTGCACAACGGAAGAGAGTCACAGAAGGGATTATTTCTTCTTCTTTTACATATACACTACCTTATCACATCAAGCTGAGATGTAAAGTTCTATCACTTCTGATAACACATACATTCATACATTCATCACTTGCTTTTGATTATGTATAATGTCAGTTCTCACCAATATCCTCCAACATAAAACTTGCGAGATGGGAGCTGCTTCCGCTCGAATACACTGCTGTGACATTGATGATGTAGTCTGTAAGAAGCTTCAGGGTGGGCAGTTGGCAGTGCCAGAGCTAAAACAGATACCAAATCATATGTGATGCCAGGTAATACATATTATTTACAGTTTTTATACAATATATACTGTGAATGTATGCATGTTTTCAGTACATTTCATTAAGAATTTCTTCAGACATATGCAGCATTTTTTTTGTTTAATTGATAAATTCAAATATAATAGTAAAAATATACAGTTGAATCTATATATAGAAGAGGGTTACTGGCAGCCTGCATGTCAAACCTGAAACTTATTTGTGGTCTGTTGCAGCAATGAAAAGGGGGTTTTCCCAAACCCAGCCAGTCCACTGTGACCAGTTTGGAAATGGAGTCTAAAGCTGTTGGATCAAGATTACAGTATATTCTTATTTATTTTTCATCATAACATTCCTCATAAATGAGTAATGTGTGCTTGGTTTCAGTTTTGGCTCAAATCAAATTGTTGTGGAAAACCCCGTCCTCAGCTGATGGTTGATCTGCAGATCACAGCTGCGAAGTTAAGTAAGTAAAGTTAACTAAAGTAATCAAACTGGTACCTGTTCAGATGGGACTGATGAAGGTGATGATGATGGTGAGTTCAGAGGAGGGGATGAAGAGCTGGGTGGGATGAGATTGCACTGCTTGATGTCTGACTGGCTGTGTCTCTCACTGACAGAACACACAAACACATTTACACACATATAAATGAGCTGCATGATGACACTCGGCCAATGGAGTCAGGAGGAGGAGGAGGAGGAGGAGGAGGAGGAGGAGGAAGACAGTTGTTTTCTTTGTCAGATTTACCTGTAGGTGGCAATGTAGTGTGTGGCTGGGGAGTTTGCAGGTTCGGGCCAGGAGCAAAGAGTCATGTTTGGATAGCTTGCACACCAGCAATACACTGTGGGAGTGGAGTAACGATCTGCTGGAAGAAATCACATTTAGTCCAATAATGTGCAACACAAGCAGAACATAAAATACACAAAATATTCTTTCTTTTTTCATGTGTTTGCTCCAACAACAAAAAATGTGTATTGTTTTTTTTAAAATTTGTTTTTATTGCTATTTATTTATTGTTCTTAATTGTTTAATTCTTGTTTGCTTTTCACTTAAAAGATGAAATCAATGAAATATAATATTAAGTCAAATAATTAGAAAAAGGAAAAGACAAAATAATGGCAAAATGCAGACAATGTGACCACAGTGCAACAACAAGAGTAATAATTAAGTCCTGTGTTTTATGCACATTGAAGGCACACACAAACACACACACACTCACCACACACAGCACAAAGTAGACACTCATCATCATAATGTGACAGATTGATACTCACTCCCTGATGTTGCAGTTGCTCTCAGCAGCTCCAGTGCTTGGCCTCCAAGAACGCACATGAGGAGAGTCACAGTGACACACACACAGCCAAACATTGCAGCCATTAGCCTTTGAGAATGATAATTAAAACCTGAGTGTAGCTTGTCTAAACAGGTCTATAAACACTGCAGTCAACCCTTAATGACAATTCTGCTCCTTTGTTCTTTGCTCTGTTTCCTTCTGTTATGATCTACTCCATTCTACGAGACAAAGTTCGCTGATAACAGTTGGCTGCTGTCGACTCTTCCTTGTGTTTTTTGAGCAGCAGCTGACCAGCGCTTTAAAAGCAAACGCGGTCAAAATGAAAGAGGAACAATGGGTGTGATGTATCACAGGAAAACCTCCTTGAGAAAGAACCGTTACGTCACGTCTCTGTTGATGCGTCAAGTTTCCTGATGTCATAAACAACAAGTTTGAGTCATACTTGCTTTAATATTGTATTGAAATTGTTTACAAATTAAATAATGATACACAAAGAAGCTCATGTGGCACATGGATTAGTTGTACATATGTAGACAGAGCTTCATCACTGAATGCAGCTCTTGGAAAGTGGTGAGGAGACATGAGGGTACTTATCTATCAGCACCTGTTCTCTCTCTCCTCCGCTCATTTTGTCCTCTACTCTGCCCTCTAGTGCACAAAACCAAAAATAACAGCTACAGTTAAAGAAGCTTGATCAGTCTAAAGTGTCCAGTTTTAGGTGATCTGCATCCAAAGTCCGAGCCGTTCGATTGTCTCTGTGAGGCCACGACAGCTTCTTGCTGCTCCATCCGGACAGGGAGCCACTGTGGAGGTTCCAGCCCAGTGCTGGAGCCCCATCCTTGGGCGTGCCAATACCATGCAGTCCCCCGCTCGATGTCCGCAGGGAGGTGAAGGCCTTGCTGATCCAGCTGTTCTTTGCCTCCTGCAGATCATTGGTCAGGAGTCCCCTCTGGTGCTCCAGCTCCTGTGAGAAAATAGCACAGATGAAAAATGTGAACTTTACTCTATAACAAATTTATTTCAGTCCATATTTGTGCAACCAAAACATTGTAATATTCTAGTAAAAGATATTTTTAAAAGTCTTAATTTCATAAGGCATATGTATAAGAAAATCCACTTTATTGTACTTGAACTTATCAAAGCATTATTTTAAATTATGTACTAAAGACGAACTGTTACTATGTTGCTTTTTAGTTGTCTTTTGGAAGAAAAGACTTAATATTATCATACTTATTTTAATTGTACTTGAATACTACTCTTAGAAAATGTATAAAATATAAATATCTGTAAAATATAGTAACTGTAATTGTTCTTATATTTAGACTGATCAGAGCCATCCTTAAATAATGCACTGACTGGACACTGTTATATATTGTTTTGCAGCGTATTTAGGAAGAAATACAATAAAGTACACTTGAAGTAGTATTGCTTATCAATATACTTATTTTAAGTACATTGAAATACTACTGCAGCAATAATCCATTTTTAAGTAGCTTTTTTAAAATATACTTTTTTAGCACTTCAAGTTAGCACCAAAAGAAATGAAGTGCTTAAGATGTACATACTGATATCTAGTATATCACAGTATGCTGTTACGGTAAAAAGGAATGATTACAGAAAGTGGGGACATTTAGTCACTTTCATTCACATTTTCATGGGGCTTATTGAGGATAAGGGTTGGATTTAAGGTTTCGGATTCAAACTGGAATTAGTTCAGATCAGAAATGAAGCTTGTTTCCTTATGAATGAATTTCTGCTATTTCTTCCCGCTCTAATCTCCTATGTCACTTCCGCATTCTAGTGCTATCAGTTGTGTTTTACTTCACCAATGGCAGCTTCTAGACTTTGCGGGATCCTGTCTTTTACTTTCAAGGGCTTAATGAAAATGTTTTACATTGAGGTTAAAGTATATTCCCCAGAAAGTCCCCACGAGTACAAGCACAGTTTCATTAAAATTCTTCTCGTTATCGTTTGACTTGATTGTGTAAGGGTAGTGTTTGCACCAACATTTACCTGGATTTTGCATTTAGCCTCCACCATCTGGAGTTTAGTCTGTGCCAACTCCTGCTCCAGCTCCCTGATCTGAACCTTGAGGGACTCCTTCTCCTTGTCCTCCCTCCTCTGCTCTGCCTTTTCAGGACCTTCATCGTCCTCATCCTGGCCTGCTTCGGTCAGCCCCTGGCCTTCTGTCAGAGCCGCTGTTGGAGAGGTCTCACCTGCAGTCGGAGGTTCGTGTCTTTCCACAAGGTGCCGACAGCGAGCGCAGGCCTTCACTGCACTCTGCAGACACGGAGAACGAGAGAGAGCAGATATAATGTAAGAGAGGATGACGACTTTTCCGCCCCGAATATGACACACAGTTAAAAACCTTTGACACCTGCTGTAATAAACGATCTTTAATGAGAAGGTTAAGCAACAGAGGCGTTAACATGTTTTGAACTTGATTTCCTACGACATGGTGTTCGAGATGAGGCCTGACAGATAAAAGCAGAGATGAAAGTATATGTTGTCACCTTGAGTGAATCTAACTCGTCTTTGTGGGCGGCCTGCTGCCTCTCCAGACGGTTTGTCAGCTGAGAGCAGATCTGAGAGAAAGAGCATCTGATATTAACATCATTAAGCAAAACACGAGTGAATTCTTTAATAATATATCTTTTATAACACGTGCTTCCTAATTCCTGGCAGTCTAGTTTTCATTTTTCAGATTCTCTGTACCTGCTTGTAATCTGCGACGATGCCTGACGACCTCTTGACTTCCTGCTCAGCTTTCTCCAGCTCTCTCCGAAACACTTCCTTTAGCTGAGGAGAAAGCCTTTATTATTATTATTTATGCCTATGGCTACATTATAAGACATTATAATGATCAGACTCATGACAATCTTTGTTCTTACCATTGCAGCTTCCTCTTCCTTCACTCTCTTCTCCTCCTCTGTGGCCTGCAGACGATGTCTGGTCTGCAGAAGGTCTTTGGTGAGTTCGTCCACTCTGTCCTCCGTCTGTCAACAGAGGACAAACAGCTCAAGATGTTATTCCAGTTCATTTCATATAAAGGAATAAATGACTGATGTTTTTAGAAGACACCAGTTCCAGAAAGCTACATTAAAAGAAATATTACAAAGGGTCCAAAAATAAAGAAAACTAATTTATAAAATGAAAAAAAGAATTCATAAATTACAGTATTATGTAAAACTGGAGAAATCAAACCTAATTAAATACTCCATCTTGGCTTTTTTCTGGGGTTTTGTGATAAAGTTAGAAAACTTAAACACCCATTCAAATTTTTGATCACCTCTACACCAGGATATTTCAGGCCTTTGTTGAACCATTTCATGGGGAAAAAAAGACACTCTTAAAGCATTAACGTACGCTTCATGTCTCTTCAGATAAAATGACACTATTTTCAAGCAGAGACTAGTGGACAATTTGAGCTCCTGTGCTGAAATGTAAAAGGGGTTTCTCAATAGTGACCTTTGGCAGATGATTATGCATTTTTAAATTAAACTCTTTTTACCCTTTTTGTGAGGGGCCGTAGCTAATCGTACCTTGTCCAGAGCGTTCCTCAGGGCGACCTTGCTGCTGATTAGTCTGTGGGCCAGGTTGTCATTCTCCTGCTCCAGACGGAGGCTGGCCTGCTGGAGCTGACGGTTTTCCTTCTGAAAAACACAGAAAAAAAAAAAGAAAATCTATCAGGGCACACAGCAGCGCACAAACCCGAGACTTCAGAAAGCTAAGGAGTGGAAATCAGGTCATTTCAGAAAAAGAAGAAGAGCTTTAATTTCTGCTGAGATGGGGAAGGATTGCATGTTGAGGAGGCTGAGTTTTAGAGACGGTGTTTTTATCAGTGGATAAAAATGACTCAAATGCTTTCATTGCTGGAGGAAGTCAAAGATTTCTGACCAGGTATTTGTCCAAAGGGTCTTCTTCTTCTTCTTCATCATCCATTATCTGAAGCCGGCTTTCCCTCAGTTTAGCTTTCTTTGTCGGGACCTGAGGGAAGAGAGTCAAGTCTAATTAAACACAGTAATGTGGAGAAACTGTCACATTTGACTGAAGTGAAGAAAGCTATCTCCAAACAGATGTGATGCCGGATACGGTATGAGCACAACAAATCAAGAACAGGCTCCAAAAAACAGATCCAGATAAGGATAAGACCAAGATAAGATAGAGCTGAGCACATGGAGGAATGATAATTTAGTAATAATAGTGGAGGGGAGAATTTTTTTTAAAGCCTGAAATGCCAATTTCCATATCTCAAATATCTAAATTGAACAATCAGAATTCATTTCCTACTGTCTCGAATTGCAAATCTGTCATGCAGAGGAATGTGTTTTATATTGCAGTGTGCAGTCTGCTCATGCTCGTAGCTGCCAGTCAGTATAGGAAGTGTACACAGAGGACACTAAGTTTCATTTCTGGCTTTTTGGATCAGTCTAACTCATCACAGCAATGGTTCATCTGCGGATGATGTTAAGTTTTGTATCTGCAGGTTTTAAGGTGACATTGACAAAAAGTAATAAACTTTTCATACCCTTACAGATACTCGAATCATGCCATGGTTTTGGTTGGTTAATGTGTCAGTTGTGGTGCTGTAAAAGGAAAGTGAATTCTTATACAGTTGAATTAAACGCATCAGCGAGTCTTACTGTGAATTTCGGTCCCGTTTCATCCACCAGACAGGCCAGGATCTCCTCCTCGCTCATCTGCTCCATAACCTGGGCATCATACGCCATCATCACGGACACCTCCTCCATCATCTTGCCCAAATGTGCAACCCCAGTAGCTGCTACTGCTCACACACACACACACGCGCGCACACACACATACACATACACACACCAACAGTCGCAGTCTTTGCAAGCAAAGCCTCCCGATCCCAATCACAGAAATGGAGGAAAACCCACCAGGACTGCTGGAAGATGTAACGTGAGTTCAGACAGATGGGCTCGTCTTGTTTGTACTTGCAGTGATGCAGGCGAGCGGTCAGTCCAGCAGGAGAGTGTAAACAGGAATAAAAAAGTATAACAGGGACAAAGTCCAAGTCGTCCCGGCACAAGGAAGCTCAGCTTACAGTCCAAAGGTGAAGAACAGAAAGAGGTACTCCGAACAGGTGAGGTGTAGTTGCACTCATACACACCTTTACATAATAAGCAGTAGTCAGAGCCACTTACACACAGCCACAGATGAAGGGGTGTGTGTGTGTGTGTGTGTGTGTGTGTTACAGGTGTATGGGCAGTAACAGGTTCAACAAGGTTTATATGAGACCTGAGAGTGTGTGAAAGAAACAACGGTCTTGGACACACCCACTACAGTGCTCACCTTACTTATCATATCCCCTGTCTTCTCCCCCCCCCCTCTCTCTCTCTCTCTCTCTCTCTCTCTCTCTCTCTCACACACACATACACTCATACAACACCTGTTTATGATTTATTTGCTGATAATGAGCTCCTGTAATGATTTTTTTCCTCATACACTTTCATTTTCATCCATTTTCCTCTTACTCTCTGGTTCACACACTTGGCCTAGCTGGCAGAACTGCTGCGTGAACCTGCCAGACTGCCAGCTAAACTCTGCTGATGAGTGCAGGAAGGAGTAAATGATGTAGTATTTGTGATATTTCACCCTCAGGTGTTGCTCTGTCTGTTGCCCTGTCGCTCTATTATTGTAATGGGCTGAGCAGCCAGGCAGGAGAGCAAACGGGTCCAGCAGGTAAAGCGACAGAATACCAAAGAATGAATGCAGAATGACAAAGAGGATTCGGCACCCCACCCATCAACCCCCCTCCCTCTACGTCATGATGCGGCTTGTCCTAATTTTTCCCCTTTATCCTGAAATTTCTGATTTAATTTGTATTTTTTTCATGACAGATGACACATCAGTTTCATGTCTTTCCTAAGTTTCACTTCCCTTCCTTTAAGCTTGTATGAGTTTCTATTTTTCACTTCTGTCTTTAATTTTACTCAACTTTTTTTTGCCTGTGTCTCTCTGCGGTTACAAGCACTTCCGTTTTAAGATGTTGGTGCTTTTCTTCTTTCTTTTTTTTTTTTTTACCAGAAACTGTGATTTCAACAATGACTGTCTGAGTTATTGAAAGTGAAGAAAGACCAAAAAAAAGTCCAGGCAGATGTATAAACATTTATTCTTCCTAAAAAAAAAAAAAAAAAAATGTGGACAATTTGTGAAACATGGTGAATTTTTCTTACTGTATCAGGGAATACCAAAACTTATTGTAGTTTCATACAGAAAAATCTGAAAAATACAATTTTTAACAATCAGAACAAGAAAAAAAAAAAGGGGAACCTAAAAATAAAAAGGTGCACAGGTCAGTCGTGATACAGCTATGGTGCTCTTTGTGGTGCCACAAACACAGAACCAGTGGGCACTAAAACTAAACCTCTTTCACCACACTATGGGGGTCATATGTGTGTGTGAGTGAGTGTATCGGCTGAGTGGCGGTGAACACCAATGCTGAGTGGACATCTTAAATAACAAAAAGTCATTTTACATATATAATGTAGCACATACTTAATGTGACTTGAGGATGCGAGGAGGAGGAACATCAGATGTGATAATGAAGCTCACAGCTCAGTGGAAACTTTGTGATGTGAGAATATACTGAATAAATGTCTTTAATATGTCTTTAAACTGATAATCTTTAATCTGTTATTCTAAATATCATTATATTTTTTCATTTCTTTTCAATGTTGGATAGCTGGATAAAGCAAATTCCCAGTTCCAAATGTAAATTCCCATTCTCTTCCCATTGTGTTCCTCTGTTGTATCAAAACAGGCAGAAACACACAGGAACACAAATTAAAATCAAGATGGAATAATAATCGAAGAGTATGGAAAAAACTCACATTTGGTACAAACTCACTAAAACACACCTAAACCCTGACATCCTTCACAAAAACTACAATATTCTTTAAAAATATATAGATTCAGGCATGTACTGTGGAATAACACTGCATCTTGTTACTGTACTGTATAGCAGATATAATGGCTTATAGATACAAAAACTGAAGCTTTCAGGATCAACAGAATATGGTACATGATCCTATTATCTTGTTACTGTCTAAACACTTTCTTTCTTTTCATCCATTTCAATCTGTAAACATGACAAAGTTTAACACAGCAGCTCATATGGAAGACACTGCAGAACCAACTTCCTCTGAGTAGCCTAGCTCCACTGCAGTTAATCAGAAGTGAAAACAGAAACAAACAAACTCTTCTAGTGGACTTTTTTTTTTTTTTTTGTAGCAGATTGAAACTAGACTCCTTCAAATAACTGCAAAATGCATAAAAATGCTTAAAAACTGGACACTTCTCCTCGGCTCTTCATGTCTTTCCTCTGGATAAAAACAATCTCAAGCTCCATTAGTAGTTTCTATAGTCGGCAAACAAGCACACCTAATAGAAAAACTGTTAGCCCTCATGTACAGTAAGCTGGGGAGGGTGGGGGGAGGGAGGGAGCTTGCTTTTGAGCCTTTCAGTTAACATTAGCAGGCGGGGGGGGGGGGGGTTGCAACAGAAACTAAAGAAGTGATAGTGATCTGGGTTTTAGTCTCTGGATTTTTGAAACCAGATACTGTATGTTCACAAAAAAAAAAAAAACTAACTCAAGCTACAAGCTAATACCTGTCATCACAGTGTGTTTCAGCGATGTCTCCTTGTGATTCACCTCACAGCTCACACATAACACGACTGGATGCAAATTTGTGATAAATAACCAAAATTTGACTTTGACTTGCGATTTGAGTTTGTGTGTAAAAAAACTTTTTTTGGTGCTAAACAGAAAAAAAATGAAGGAAAGGGGATTTCCGTGGCTATTCAGAACCTGCTATGGGCAAATGGACTTTGTGGACATTTTATCCAAGGTGTTTGACAAACAAAAATCAACTCATTCAGATATGTTTTAATCAAATCTAACTGATCCTGTAAATTGTGTAGAATTACTGTCTTAATTTATTTTTTTATTTTTATTTTTGTTAGTGTCATTTGAGAATAACAGCAACTAGAGCAAAGGCACAAACATTTGCTTTCTTTTATGGCCACGTGATTTCCTGATACTTTCCCACTAAGTTTCCTAATAGGTTGATGTAACTTGGTGTCATTTACAGGGGAAAGAGACTATGTTCAAGTAAACACACTCATGAATTGCTAGCGGAAGTTATTTAGTTAGTCAGTGCTAGCAGATCAGCTTAACAGGCAGAAAATGTGAAGAGGCAAGCATACAATTCAACACACGGTAAGTGAAGAATGTTACCAATAATAAATGGACACTCAATAAATATTTACTTGGTTTTTTGTACCTTCATTTTTTTTCTTTCTAGGAAATTCCTATTTTTCTTATAGTTTCTACTAAAATACATTGTTATATCCAGAAAATGTCCTCACATAAATTATTTGAAAATGATACAGATAATTGGCAAAAAAAAAGGGAAAAAAAGGCGTAACCAGAAAATTTTAGTGGAATCTAAGTTATTTTGTTTTATTTCATTCATGACTCAAACTGTAAAATTCCTTTGGGTTTGGAGCAAAAACAGCAAACATCAGTTAATCAAACTGTAATTGATCATTAACATGGCTGATGGGAACTGCTTCAAATTTGCATCTCTAGCACCTACACAAGAAAAATGACTTGGCTGTTTTTCTGTGTGCGTGGGGGAGGGTGGGTGGGGGGCCCTTTTGCGTTCACACTATACAGTACATGCGTAGCCAAACGTGTCCCTGACTACCTTCATATGTGTCTTGAATGACTGCACCAGTGCAGATGTGCTCACACCTGTAATCATCCAATTTACCAAAGACACATTCTAGTGGCACGTGTGATTTGGCCCTGTACGGAACAAACTGAGGCTGTACGAGAGTGTTGTACCACATCCCTGCTGATCTAACACACACACACACACACGTTACGCTGCCGTCTGCAGCTCCACAAGGGCTGCTCAGTGGATTTGTTGCCCACACTGAGGCTCTGTTCAGTTTATGGGTCAACCCCTTGGATGAATGTGTGGCTGAAGTGAGCATGTGCAGTAACGTGGGTATGTGGGTGTAATTGTGCTGTATCGTAATCCTTCACCTGAATTCAGTCCCAAACAAAAGGGCATGTGCTCGATGTGTAAGTGTCAGGTGTGTGAAAGTAACGTCTTTTACGTGTTTGTGTGTGTTGTCATGGTGCAGCAGAGGTCAGACCTGGGTGCTGTAGGGGCGAGGCGGGGGAGGAAACATGTCCGTGGGACTGTAGTAACTCAGAGGGGAGGAGCCCTGCGGGTTGGCGGACAGGGGGAGAGAGACGGACGGGTTCTCGTAGTAGGTATGGAAGCCGAGCCGCTCCCCTCCGTTACGCATGTCGTCTGTGAGTCCAGAACGGAGGGGGTACGGCGAACAGGTGGGGCAGTGGTTGTGGTGAGAGCCCGTGTCCAGCTGATCCAGAGAGACGGGGGTGATAGTCGCTCCGTCCATGGCGAGAGCGTTGCAGGCGTTGCAGGGAAAGTGAGAGAGAGGGTCCGCTCCCACCACGGAGCCCATGTCCACCTCAGAATCATTCTTCTTACAGCAGTAATACTTCAGAGGTGGACAAGGGAGAGAGAGTGTGAGCAAGAGGGGTTTGCAGCTTTAGTATTCTAAAACATACTGTATAGTAAAAACTATACAATAGAGCACATGCATGAATCTGTGTGTATATATTGTACCCAAAATGCATCATGAAAAGTATTATAGTCATACTACCCCAAAAAGAACCATCTGAAACAATAGGAAAGATTAAAATAAAAACTTGGTGCGC